TGTATGCCTACGAGGTCGAGGTCTTGCTGTGTTTTGGTGCTTGCACAGGGCTTGGGAGAAACAGTTAGCTGTGGGGGAGACAGGTTTACCACACAGCACGGCTGCGCCCTAAAGAAAGCAGAGACGTTTACATGCTTGTTTAAATTAATATTCTTGCCCCACCCAGATAATAATGATAATGAGGGATTTATTTTTTAATTAAATTGCCGCTGAAACATAGAAGTTGAATTTAATGTGCTGTTGTCTTGCACATAAGTAGTCAAAATAAGAGGGTATTTGTACATTCTTGTGTGGAGGCCTCTCTTCTTAATTACCTTTTACTTCATGCTCTTTCACTTCATAGATTTTTTAAAATTCTTTTTGTATTTTCCATACTGTATGTCCTTTCTCAGGTTGTTGGGTGGTTTTTTGTTTGTTTTTCTTTCTTAATGTCAGCTCTTTCTTGACTCGTTTTGAATCTGTGTTTGTCTTTCTTCTCATTTCCCTGTTGCTCATATTTTTTATTTTTTTTTTCAATTTTAGAAGTACTTGCTTTTTTTAAGGTGTGTACCACCACCACTTCACCAGTGCTGTGTGTTTGTCTTGCTTTTCATAGTCACCCTTCAGCTTTGTCTCAAGATCTTGTCATGGTGACATATGTTAGGAGTTGATTACAAGTACAAACACAGCACCACTGCCAGTCATGATCCTTATTTTTAAATTTCTTTTTAAAATTTGCTATTTTTTTTAAAGGAAGGTGTCCATATTCTTTCTTTTTTTTCATAAACTGACTGGCTCCTTCTTTGCATTCTGGAGGATAGTGATGGGTGTGAGGAGCCCTGCAGCAGCAGCCTTGCACTGCCTACTCTTTTCATCTGCTGGAGGTGCAGGGTGCTGGTACAGACCTCTGCCCCTTGCCTAGGAGCAGCAGCAGCAGTGAGGTCCAGCAAAGAAGGGCAGGAAAGACTTGGATCTTTCTGTGTGTCCATGAGGCTACAGGAGTGAGAAAGGGAACCTTGGTCTGATAGGGCATTGGAGGGAAGGCATGGACTATAGTCTCACTTTCGATATAGGCACAGCATCTTGGCTCCTTCTCACCATTGATTAGAGGGGGATGCTTTAGCACCAGGCAGAGAGAAAGTTTTGTGGCTAGTGATGCCCCATGGGGACCAGAAAGGCAGGCACATGCCTCAAAGTGTGTGGTATTGTTTGTTGTTTCCCTGAATGGTGGTATTTAAATCCTGCTCGTGGATGACCTGCTTCCCACTGCCAGCTCCGTCTCTCTCACGTTAAGACTCTGCAGAGTTTTTGGGTGCGGTTTACTTTGAAGTTTGAGGCAAAAATGAAATGCTGAACAGTAATGGTTGTACTTAGTCAGCATTCTGTGTTGTGCAGTTAGTGTAAGTCTGTCTGGGGTGTGGGAAACTTGGGCTGTGCTGGGAGCATCTGAAATGCTCTGCTGTTTCATCATGCATGCTGTCTGGGGGGGGGGAAAAGGGGGTCCCCCCCCCCCCCCCCCCCCCCCTCCCCCCCTCCCCCCCCCCCACCCCTCCACCCAGGGAGCCAGAGTGCTGCCCCCCGCAGTCTCCTTCCAGCTTCCCCACCAAAACATTTAGAAGTAGTAATAATGTACTAGAAATGAATTGCACTTGAATTTTGTGGTTAAGACTTCAGGCTTTATATTTGTTGTGATTTAAAACCTGTAATTCTGTGAAGTTAGAATTAACTTCAGATGCTCGAGGATATGCACTGGTCAGACTCTGTATTAAAATCATCTGGATGTTTTTTGTCCCCATTTCCCTGTTAGTTCAGGAGCTTTCTCTTTGGTCAGGAACCTTAGTTTTTTTGCATAAATGTATTTGATCCACCTGACCACAAAACCTTGCTTTTGGAGGGGCAGCTCTTCACTCCCTTTCTGGTTTTGCTTCCCCTGCGCTGGTAGATGGCAGCAGCATTGCCTCTCGCGCTCCATTTAGTTGCTAGAACAGAACCTACTTCTCTAGTTCTTACATTACATAAGTCCCTTGTCTTCCCTCATCATTATACTTCTCTTCTGCAACTCTGCTAAGTTGAATCTATCTTGAATTTAAATGGCTTGCCCTCATTTGGAGAGGCTGTGAACACTTTAGTGGCATGGGGAGTTGTGGACACAAGCATGAAACCTTTTTCTTTTTTTTTTTTTTTTTTTTTTTTTCTCAAACACACTACTTGAGTGACTTGTGGTCTGTAAGAGATAGGTCTGGTGTGTTGTTTCTCCAGGCTTTTGAGTTGTGAATCTTTAAAAAGAATCATTTTTGTGGAACATGATGAGATTCAGGTTGCAATATATACCCTTTGAAGCTCGAGTAATAACAACCACTAATCTTATTAAAGTATAGTTATATTGGTAAAAAGAATAGTGTGATGACTTTATATTTGAACGCATTAATCACTGAGTAATGTTCCTGTTCACATTTTATAATGATAAATCTAATTGCAAGGTTGATAGCTTGTAATTTTTTTTTTTCCTGCTTATTTCTGTGGTTCTACTTAAAATTCCTTTTCAGGTTCACTTTTCTGATAGAGTTTAAAAGGAGTGCTAGCTATTTTGAGACCTGTAGCTTCAGTGATTTGCTACAATGATTAGGGATGGTCAAGAATAAGTAAGCAAGGACAGTATTTAGAGGTGCTTATTTGTTGAAAAGATACCTAATTGTGTCAATATCCAAACATGAGCAACAGCCTTTCAGATGTCATCTTTTGATGCCTTGGGGGTTAATTCCAGGCCCTGACCAGAGGAGAGATGATTTTTAGCTGTTTTATAAAGCATGCCAGTGAGTACCATGGCCGTGTTCTGCTTCCAGTGTTATTTCTCCCTGCCTCTGACCCTTCTCTGAAGGTCTTGAGTGTTGTCAGCGATGATATCCAGGGGCGCTAGGTGTTACTTATCAGAAGGGTCATGTTTGGTAGGTTTAATTGCTGCAACACCTTGAAAATTAGTTCTCTCATGTGCCAACAGCAGAGTAGTTGCGCAGCTGAGCAGCCACTGATGAGCAACTCCTCTGCTCTGTTTTTGTTGCACTCAGGATGTAGGCAGCATTCATTTCTCTAGATCTCTGACTCTTCCTTGCTTAGCTGCACAATGTGCTCATCTTCTGCAGTTCAGCTGACATAACCTATTGGTTTGGGAGTTTACTCTGAGTTTGGGCTGTTGGTCAGACTAATCAGGGCATGTTGTCTTGATCTTGGTGTCAGTTCTGCTACCTGGCAGCTGCTTGTTTCATCTGCTCTGTTGCTTTATTCCTCTGCCTTTACCTGCCTGTTGCTTGGACCCTCCAGACCCCAGAACTCTGACCTGATAGTTGGATGCATTTTGTTGTTTATCAAGTCGTTCCCTCTTCTCGCAGTGGGATCTTAACATGTGGCCTCTTGCATGCAGAAGAAACGGTGCTTATTGAAGTCCTTAGGGTTTTGGTGGCAATGGGACATTCAAATAAATTCAAAATAAAACTGACAGATCTAGCCAGCCTTCCCTGTATTGAATGGAAAGGAAAAGCTGCGGTTGCGTTCCCTAGCATGAAGCTCTGCTTTGGCCATTTGTGCAGGCAGCCCCTTGGGCACTGTGGGAGCCAGTCCACAGGCAGAGACAAAGTTGTCTGTTCTCCATCCTTCCCAGTCCCCTCCTCTTATCTGCTGTCACCTTGTGTCCCTCATTGTTGTCATGTTGTGTCCTACTGCAGAAGAATGGCCTCCACCATAGCACACTGTACATCAGGAATTGGGACATAATGTGAGACACTTGGGGTCTTTTGGATGTGGTAACATGGAGCCCACAGTCTGCACAGGCAATACCTTGTTCAAATATTTTTCTTGAATTAAGCCATGTTTACAAACTGATAAGAAATACTAGGATCCTAGAGACCTTCAGAACAGAAGGTTGTGGGGATTCTTGTGTTTGTTTTACTATTTAAAGGCTATATTAGAAGCAGCTGTTTTCTTTTTGGATTTTTTTTTAAAATAAATTTTGAATGATGGAATAATTGTTACATCCAGTGATAGTGTCAAAATAAAATTAAAAAAAAAAAAAGTCTAAAGTGTATTAAATTTCTCAAGTGGATCTCTTCCACACCGTGGAAGTCTAGTCCCAGCAGTGTGATTTGCAGACCCGTGGAGTGACAGAGCTGTGCGTAGCTTGTGAATTCAGTAACTTTGTGTACCTTTTCCTGTGGCTTCCAGCCGAAGGGAGCAAGTGCGCAAGAGGGCACATTCTTTTGTTGTTGATAGCATTCCGCCTTAACGAGAAGGAATTTCTTGCCTATTGCCTATTGTTTATGAGGTGGAAAGAGATCACAAGTTGTGTAATCTCTGTATCGTTAGATTTTTTTAACCTCATGAGCCGGTTGATTTGCAGCAGGTGCAGCCTGTGGGTGCTCTCGTGCACCGCACCTACATTTTGTTCTGTGGGTGCGAGCTGGAGGTGGTGGAGAGGAAAGGGAGGAAAACAGAGGGGGGAAGCCCCCCCCCCCCAAGTAAGGAAACAGCAGAGCTGAATACGGTTTGGTTTCTGTCTCCGGAGCTTTGCTCAGCAACCAAACCCAGACGCCAGGTGCAGCATTCCCTCCTCGGTCTGTGAGCATAGAAACAACGCGTCCCTCCTCTTCTTCCTCCCCTGCCAAGAGTTTCTGGGTGGTGAATGTCAGTAGCTGGAGTTATTTTTAAAGGCAAGAGGTGAGGCTTGTCGTGCAAAGCTGGGAAGAGGGCGTTTGTTTGCTGAGCAGAGCTGACATCAAAGTGGAAGCTGCTGCCTACTGGCTCGCCACTGCCTTATGCCAGGTAATCGTTAACGTAGCCCTCAGTCACCGAGATCGCAGCCCAGCCTGCCCATGTGCGTGAGGAACCACCGGCGTTTATGATCCAGAAGATTGCTTTTGCAGTATTATTTCTGTGAGCTGGACTTTGACATTTAAAAGCTTGCAGTAATCATCTTGCAAAACCTGCTTAGTGCTTTTAACCGAGCAACTGCTTTCTACTTCTCTTCACAGGATAATATAAATGTTTTTCTGAAAGCGTGTGAAAATATTGGACTGAAAGAAGCTCAGCTTTTTCACCCAGGAGATCTTCAGGATTTGTCCAGTCGAGTTACAGTCAAGTAAGTTTTGTAGTTTTGTTTTCTCTTTCCCCTTCTCCCTCAAAGCTGTTTCAGTCTTTTTTTTTTTTTTTTGTTTGCCTATGGAAAATTCATCTTTTAATCTGGTACAAGCAGTTCTGAATACTGTGCTGAGGGTTTAAGCCTTGTTAGAACTGTTAGATAAGATTTAACTTGAAAAGTGAAGTATTATTATGCTTTAGAAGCAAACTAATTGTTAATTAATATTTACAGTGTTTAATATATGAGCTGGAAACTGCTCAGGTTATTTTAAACTTGGAGCAAAATTAACAGTTAAATGATATCAAAAGCATCAATTCCCATTATGCTTTAAGATTATGGAGGTAAAATCTGAAAGGCTGAGGTGGTACTTCTGATATTTATCTGAATGGCTCTGAGGCTTGGGTTCCCTGTTTCTAAAGGAACCTAACGTTAGTCAGGTGTTTGTCACCTAATGTCCCGTCTCCTTGGAAGGGTGGGGAGGTGAGGTGGGTATAAATCAAGGACTGAATTGCACAAAGCGTAAGTGGCGTGTTTACAGAGAAGTTTTCCTATGAAATAGCAGTGGTTTGGTTCTGAAATATAATAGTGGATTCTCAAATTACAGGACTGCTCTAATAGGATTTTTATTACTGGTTTCTGACAGATTAAGGTGGAGCTTTACTGTACAGATACTGAACAGGTGTTTTAAGATAAATGTGTTGTGGAAAAATTGTCTAGAGGCGTCTTGCTTTGTTACAATATTAGCTGTTTTTGTTGTGTAGGTCCAAAGGGTGAATATATTGAGTATCAAAAAAAAAGGCAGCTTTAGTGAGGTTTGTTGGAAACCTATCAGGTTAAATGTTAAGAACTCATTCCTACCATCAGTTACCAGTTTTGTCCAAGAAGAATAGGCAGTAATTTTTCTGTAAATGCAAGGGGAAAAAAAAAATACTGTGAAGTGACACAACTGCTTTAATTAGAAGGAAATCTCTTGTAGGGTGGATTGGGTGGCAGCATGTTGATATATGCTCTGCCTGGTTTCAGAATGAAAGTTTGTGCTGTTTTGAGGCCTGATACTTGAGATGGCAATGTGTCTTCCAACCTTTGACTCATACCCAAAACATAATTTCTTGCTAATGTGGTGTTTAGGGACCTGGCACGCTTCCAGGGTGCTGGCATTCTCTCCTGGTTTCTACATCATGTTGAAAGCCAGGGAGGTTGGTAACCTCTCCTATGCTTTAATTATCCCCAAAACTCTTGCTAAAGGTATTTTGGTGGAGGTTTGTTCCAAGGGTATAGCTGGGAAGGGTTGGAGGCAGTCAGGAGCTGGTCATCAACGGTGTTAATAGTGACAAACTGAAACCCCGGGGAGGTCAGATTAGCAAACTGTTGTGCAAAGCATGCTGTCCAGCTTGTCCATACATTAACCAAAGTGAGGTCAGCCATGAAATTCATCCAGTGGGTCTGTAAGCAAGGGTTTTGGGGATCCTCTAAGCTCTGCCAGGTCCCTTCTCAGCTCTGGGAGCAGAGAGTAAGTCTGGAATTTGAAGTCATCATAAGGCAGTAGGGGTTTTGCATCATACCTACTTGGCAATGGATTAATGAGCGTCTTCAAAAAAAAAAGGCAGATTTAACCATTGAGCACTTCCTGTGGACAGAACTGTAAGGGGTCTGGGTTAAAGTCGAAGAGCTGCCAGCCATCTAGCCATGCTTTTTAAATTTCTTTAAATATAAGTTGGATTTTCCACGTTATCTGTCATATGACAGTTCCACAGTGTGCGTAAAGTGCTTAGAGACTAATTCAAAACTTCTGTATCTGAGCACACTGTAAAGTGGTAATGTAACCATACTGGCATACTTTGATGTGTTTAGGAGTTTGGAGAGGGATGGGAGGAAAGCTTTATTACAAGAAATGAAGGAAATAAGTTATACAAAGACAGCTCTCTCCATTGAAAAGTTAATTACACATCATTTGATTACCCAGAGGGCAAGCTCGTCTTCAGAGGGTTTCCAGAATAAGCCCTTTGTGTGTCTGGAGATAAATCTTGTCTGATCAGGAGCTCTGTCTGATATTTTTTTTTTAATACTATTATTATTTAATAGAAATAAGTGATTTCATATATCGAAGTGGAATTGCAAATTTCTTCAAAAGTTGTAGGCTTCCAGGCCTCAGAAAAGGGATATGCAATATGATGTCTTGCTTTCGTGTTAGCCCATTAACCTTAGTTTCTGCATTAGAGGTAAATAATTTTGTGTCACAAAGAGGGAAAATGTTTCTAGGTGCTGTTTTTTTCTAGAAGATTATATTTACCTCTTGGGTTCCTGGCATTCCTAAGCAAATTAATTTTTCTGCTGTCGCCTGAGGCTGATTGCCCACATCTCAAAGCAGCTGCTCTAGGTTGTGCAGGATAACATTAGCATGTGGTTGAAGCAGTGTGTATTTTGACACCCCAGCAGTATTGCTGTGTTCTGCTGTTGCACCATTGTTAGCATGTGCTTTGTATCTACCCAAAGTGGGTTAAATAAACTGTGGCTTAAGCAGTCAGCTTTGTAGGCTGAGATTGCTGAGAGCAGTGCACTGGTAGGATACAGGTAGGTGCTAGAGGGCATAAGAAGATGCCTGATTTGCCTGCAGTGTGGCAAACAGATAAGAGCAAGGTACCGTACCATTAACAGGTGGGTCTGTTCCTGTTGCTAAGGAGAGTTCTCATTTTATGTCAGAGCAAAACTAGTCTCTGACATTGGTGGGGAGGTTGTGTCTTTGTTCCTGCCATGCTTGGCCTTCTGTAGACTTGCTGAATTACCCCAGTGGGAAGGTCCTGCAGGAAGGAACACCTCCCCTCTAAGGATGGTGTGCTCTCTGAAGAGGTGTTCCCTCTGTTCCTCCTGTCTTTGCTGCCTGGCAGTTGTGTGGTACCTCCTCCTTCTTACCCTGTGGAAAATCATGTGTCTTCAGGCTGCTGGCATCTCAGACTACTGCTCTGTCCTACAGCAGGAAAACTTTTTTCTCCTCGTTTCTGAATGTGCTCGCTGGCTTTTGTTCTGCCTTCACTTGGTGGTGTTTCTGTGTTAACAACAACAATGCCAAGCCATTTGGAGATAACAAACTCTTCATTTGAATGTGGTGTAGTGGTTTTGTGTTACCTGAGTTAAGGTGAAGACCCTCTGTTTCTCATGACTTGCCAGAAGCTGTACTAAGAAAATAATCTTCCTATCTGGTAAAGGAGGTGGCCACTTTAACTTACATTTTGTTTTCTATTGCAACTGAGATGATGCACAGGCATAACATGAAATCTCCCCTGTAATTACTACTAGTGTCTGGGTAAGGAGAGGCAAGAATCCTCTTAAAAAAACAGATTCTGTTCCAAGTGATTATGTGATTATCCTTTTTGCAAAGAAAAAGCTCCTTAAAATTTCATTGTTTAGAAGTTTGTGTGAAGAGGGATGGTTAAAATTACTGGTTGCTGTTCAGAGCTTTGCAAACCTTATGTTTTGCCAGATCAGTGATGAGATTAGTAGTCGACTGATGTGGAAAAAATACACTACCATGGATGGGTTTTTTTCTGCCAATGAAAATGGGAGTGTGGATTAATGTCTGAGATTTATAGTTTAGGCTTTCTGTAAAGCTGCAAAAGTTATTGCTCAGTGGTATAGTACAGTCATGTGTTCCCGTAAAGATGGATTTATTTGTCACATACTCTGTCCAGCGGTCATGCATATCTTCTTGTTTCGTAGCTAGTTAATTGTGTAAATGCATCTGTTCCTCTACAGTTATTTCAGGATATTTGAATTATTTTTTTTTAGCCTAGGATCTTTTTATTTTTAATTACAGGATGGGCTTTTTTTTAAAGCCCATCAGCTTTTTTTATTTGATTTTAAAGCCAATCAGCTTGGTTTTTTATTTTAATTTTTTTTAATAGTAATTCAAGGTTGTCTTAATACTTTTTTAGTTCTGTCAAACTAAGAATGTAATAAGAGCTTAGTGACTCTCAGCTGTCAGCGTGGTTACTATTTTAAAATGTTAAGCACTTCCTTACCCAGCTCTTTAGAGGTGACACACCCAGTTGTTTCCAGCTGTGGAAGGGTTCTTAGTAAAAATCATGCCATGGAGTTAAAAGTGGGAGTTTGCTTAAGCAGACACCAAACTTCTATTCTGATGGAATGTGTTATCCCAGTTAGCAGTTTTAAAGGGGGCAGCCTGAACAATCAGATGGATGGCATAATTAAAATTTGTCTCGTCTTTCAAGCAAATTATTTACTTCATCTGGAAAAATAAAATCTGTAAAATGAGGTAACCACTTAAAGAATCTTATTAAATAATACTAATAAATCTAAAAAATGGTGCTTTAATAGATGAAAATGTAAAAAGAGCAAAAAAAATTAGAAACAATTAAACGTCTTAATCCCAAATAGCAGACCTTTTTTTGAAGGTGTCCCAAGCCTCTGAGTCCTGATGTTGAATTTACTAAATTAATTTCATCCTTCAGTAAATATCAAATAAAAATATTTGGCTTCTATTAATCGTATTATTCCAGGGTTATGTTTAAAGTAGATCTTGAATGAAACACAGAAATTGTCCAAGGATGGCTGGAAGTACCTCAGCACCTTGCAGAACTTGGTTTTGGATAAGGCCTCCAACTTGCTGCTGCTCTGTACTCCTTCACTCATCACTCCCGTGTGCTAAGTGAGGTGTAAACCTGATGGAGCAAACGGGCAGCCCTGCTGGAGAAGTCTTGCTGAGGTGGGGTTAAGTGTGTGCATGAGATGAAGTAACAGAACTCTGACTCTAGCCCTGATATTTCTAACTTTTGGATTGTTTTATCTATTGATCTAATGTTCCTTTAACTCAATTATTTTTCATAATTTCCTAAAGCAAAAAACAATCTTGGAAAATTTTGAATGCTGTGCTTTCCGTAGCATAAAGCTTTATATAACTAGAGCCAGCTGGAGAGAAGTAACAACTGTTATCAGCTATGTTCATCCTTGTGTTCATGCATTTCAGAAGCAGAATTTTTGAAACA